TTTTTTTTTATATGAAGAAGGTGTACCAACAAACTGGTAAAAGGGGGGGGGGGGGGACCCAAACCAAACCAAACAAACCCCACCAAAAAACCCAAACACAAAATTGCTTAGTATTAAGCAATTTCTGTTTGATACTGATGTTAACTAAGAGCAAAAAAAGGTGCCGGAGAAGGCTTCAAAGGAAGAATTTCTTCACCAAAAGGGTCATCAAACGCTGGAACAGGCTGCCCAGGGAAGTGGTGGAGTCCCCATCCCTGGAAGCATTTAAAAGACCTGTAGATGTGGTACTTAGGGACATGATTTAGCGGTGGACTTGCCCGTGCCAGGTTAACGGTTGAACTCGATTATCTTAGAGGTCCTTTCCAACCTAAATGATTCTATGACTCTCTGATTCTAAGATGAAGTCTTACCTAATTTTTGAGTACAGGCATTTTCTGTCCTTCTGAATGGTAGCATTAATACTGCAAATGTGACTGTGTTTAGCAACAAGAGAAAACCAATTGAATTTGGAAATCCATTCTCAATGCTGTGAAAAATAATCACATAACTGTAAAGTTTGGCTTTGCCTTCTAAGTATTATTATAATTTAACATTTATCTAAGCCCTATGTAAAGAAAAAGAAAGAAAGGCCTGAACCGTCCCTGCCCTGGAGAGCTAATTTTTTCAAAAAAGTCTAATTTTTTCAATTAGACATAGCCTGGGCAGACGTGTGAAGAGGAGAACGCAGACAGCTGGCCCTTATACAGACAGTTACCTGTGAGTGATATGGAAGGGTACGTGCGCTTTTTACTGTTGGTTTCCATCCTGCAGCAAACTCTGGCTGCCTCCCAGCCCCGCTCTCCTTCCAGAGTGCAAAGGCTCCTCCAGCTCGAGCGATTCCCTGGGTGCTCAGGGGACGGGTCACGGAGACGAGCACAGGCGAGAGACTGAGTAGAAGAGAGAGATGTGCGACTGAAATGTAAAAGTCAGACAATCGAAGGAGACGGATCACGGAGGAGGCTGCAGGACTATAACAGGACCTCATGGGTAGACAGTGAGGCTGGCTTTGGGCTCAGGCTGTGTTCCTACCTCTTCTGCCAGCCTCGCTGCGAGACATCGCACCTGCCCGCCCTGGAGTGAAGAAAAGGGACCCCGAGTGCCTCTTTTAGATGGCTGCTGTGTGTACATCTCCACCTGATTTTAACCTCCGTATCTTTGTAGTCAGTGGAGAGATCGAGGTCTAGTTGGGGTGCTTTTAGACGTCTGCGGTAGGATGAGATGCAGCAGGCCCTAGGGGTGCGCGTTTCTCTCCACTGAGGATAAACCCATCCCTTAAGCCAGGCCCAGAGCAAGGGTTATGAGGGTGGCATGGCTTGAGTCCAGAGCTGCAGCTCTGCAAGGATCCTCCTCAGCTATTTCCACAGCTGTTAAAAGAGCCAAAGTAGCGTTTCTGCGCTAGTGTTCTGTCACAGAAACTTCTTCAGAGCACATCTGGCTCTTGAGGCAGGGTGATCCCCACTTCTGCCTCTGCTGCCTGGCCACGGTTTGAAAGGAATTTAGGTTTCACTGGGTCTAGGACAGTGTATCAGAGAGAACACCCATTTTAGGCTGTTTGAGAGATGGCACAGAGGCCTCTATTCCAGTCCTGGTTGTCAGGACATTGTATCCAATGTAAATACAAACACTGATTTATTTATTTTTTTTTAATTATTATTTTTTAAATACAGAGATTGCGTATTTTCTGTCTGAAAAACAACAGATCAGATTCAGTCCAATGCAGGTGAGCATTAGTTCATTTTAAAGGGCATGTGCTTGCTTATACTAAGCAAGTAAAAACCCCACAAGTTTGTTATTTTTCCACATTATGGAAGTACTGAAATTAGTCATTTTCTCACTGCGTTTAATTAGGCCTGCCCTGATAATTGAGAGGGCAAGATGCCATCATATGTGTATCTCTGGCACCCATAGCATTCACTGCTGTACGTGGGCATCATTATATTTTTAGCCTTAGCTTCAGACTGAGTGCAAGACCACACATATTAAAGCTGGTTATGTAGTAATGTTGCTATCATGTAATAGAACTTTTTACCATTTTAATGAAATGTTCATATATTTAGTTCTCTTTCTCAAAGATGTCATGGAAAAGCTGTTAATTAAAGGAGTAAATATGAAAAACAAAACTATAATCCCACATTCTGGATACCTCTGTTTGAGCAAGTAGACAGTAACTCATGCATTAGCCTGTATACTGCTTTTTTTTTTGCCCTTTTTTTTTTTTGGTGTCATGTTCTTAGTGACTTTGCTAATGGGTAGGAGCCTGTGGTGACTGGATTATTAAACCTTGTGTGTCCAGGGGAAACGAATTGTTTCATCTCTGTAGTGTCTTTTGTGAGCGTTTGTAGGTTTCTGCAGACTTCTGAAAGACTGTGGAGTATTTCAGCATCGCTGTGGAGTTAAAGGCTGTAGCTGCCGTGCTGAGCACTTTGCAAGTCCCATGGCGTAAATTCTTGCAACTCTTATGACTTACTGCAACTTTTTTATCTGACAGTACAATCAGATACAATGTCTGAGTGATTTAAAAGCTACCTGAAAACACTACTTGATTCCAAAAGGAGAATTTATTCTTCAATAAACAGAAGAAATTCTGTAGTGGCTGAGTAGAATAAACAGAAGCCAGGCAGCGCTTATGTCTAAGGTTCTATCAGAAAGCTCTTGGATGAGAATCTTCACCCAAACTAGCAAAATAATCCCATTAATATCAAATGATAATACTCTTGTAAATAAGGAGAATGGAATTTTGTCCTACTGGGTAACTTGAAAGAAATGAAGGTCAAAGACAGTTAGATAATTAACATTCCTTATGACTAGGGCTGGATCTCTGCTTACGTAGGTATTAGCATATCAGCAGACAGTTTGGTTTTTTAATAACAAACATTTTTCAAATCTATTTTTCATAATACTTTTGTATGTAAATTGCTTTAACATGTGACTGTAGATCATTCCTTGCTACTGCAGTTGAAAATCAACATATTTAATGGGTGGCCTGTCACTTCTTTTTTTGTTTTGTTTTCTGCAGAATATCTGGTCTTCTGTCTTTGGTAGAGTTTTAATAAGAGAATTAGAAGGTTAACAGATTGAAGAAAATCTGTATTTAGGCTCTCCTGTGTATTTTTTTTCTTCTTTGTATTTCCCTAAAAAAAAGTAGTTAATTTAGCTACTTTGTAATGTTAATAGTGTTTTGGATATGTC